TGCAGTGTCCCGACAATAAAGGGTCTCTTCCTACCAAGAGGAAGGATGGGGGGGGAGGTCTCCTGGAGACAGGTTTACAGAGATGAAGGAGAAGGGAATGGGCGGGATTTCAGCTAGGATTTCACCTTGTTCAAAGAGAATCATGAATGGACTTACCCTTTGCTCCTTTAGGATGGCTTTTAAAACTTTAATTTAATTTAATTGGTGCTCCCCCCCAAAAAAATCCTGGCTCCAGGGCTGCCATCAAGGCTGTTGATAGATCTACCCTCAATTTGACTGGTACCCTTTAAAAGCCATCTCCTCACAGTGAATTTCATAAGTTAGCTTGCATTGTGTAAAGGAGTACTTTCTTTGACTGAATCTTCTGCCATCAACTTCATTGGGTGGCCCTGAATCCTTTGGTATATATAATTCTATTTTTGGTCATGGACTCCCCTGAACATTCCAACATGCTTCGTCTGGAAACCGCCTGCTGCGGCACGCATGGAGGAGGAGGCAGCCTGGGAAAGCTGGCCGCTGGGAATAGGGGCTCCCTCTGTTGCAGCCACCCACAGCTGCCTGCCTGCCTGCCTGCCTCTCCTCCCCTTGGCCCGAGCGACCTGCTTCGTGCACGCTCCCAGAGGGGGGGCTGCATGGCGCCGGTGCTTCCAGGACACTGGGGGTCCCAAGCCATGGTCAGAGCCTGCCTTGCAAGCCAGGGCCCCCTGATCTGGCACATGGTTGCTGCTGGGAACCAAGCCCCCACGCCGGGAATCAGAGGGTCTTTCACCCAGGTCGACTCCTGGAGTTTTTATTCCCGGGTAAAGTGCAATTAAAACAGGCGAGGGAGTGTGAGTGCAAGTAAGGGATGAGCGTGTCCGAGCATGTGCAGAGTGAATTTGCGTGTAGCTAGTTTTCTGCACAGTCAAGGCTAGGAAACGGTTATACATTAGGCACACTGCAGCAACTGCGAGTTTCTGTTCTTTTACTTTCTTTTTTTTTTTTAACAACTGCTGAGGTGTGCGGATGAGAAGCACAGTTCCCATTAAAGAAACCGTCGCTGTGAGTTGTGTGTGTTTTGGGGAAAGAATCCTTAAGCTGTAACAGTCGGGGCTGTAGTGATCTCATTTGACCAGTCAGATATCTTTCATTTATTTCATATCTGCTTGGCCTTCTGATGTGGGCACACAGGGTGGATGGCGGTCCCAGGAGGACCCCCGTATAGGTAATGACCAGATCCTCAGCTTCATCTCCATGGATGGATTGTGTCCTCTCCAAACCTTTCCCAAGGCCAAATATTCAGAATTGTTAATAGAGCTCTTAACAGCCAGAGAGACTTCTTGTTATCCAAAACCCCAAAGGCCACAGTCTTAACTCTAAAATTAGGTACAGTTTGAGGGAGTTGGTTGCCATCGGTGGATTTTAACTTTGCTTTGTACTGTGAGCCAATCTTACTGACTATAATAAAGTGCAGGATTTAGAATGGAACTGATTTACCATCATTTATGGCAGATGCTGGGTAAATGCATGTGAGAGGCATTCAAAAGGCTGAACAATTGGTTCATTCCTGCTGTGATAACTTGACGGAATCACTGGTTCAGGTGTTACTTCATTGTAGTTTTTATCTTCAAGCACATCTGAGTTAATTGGAACCTGTTTGGGCTGATTTTAAAAAGGCATTTTCTGAGCAAAGAACTCACTGGCTGGGGTTGACCAAAGAATTACTGTATTGCTTGTGGGCTGTAATAAAGATAGAACCAACTGGTTCATTCCTGGAAATCCCAAGGAAGCCTGGGTAGTTAAAACACTTTATTGAGTGTGAAATAACAAGAGAGGTTTTCAAAAAGGTCCTGACCTAGATAGCCCACGCTTGCCCAATCTCATACGATCTTGGAGGCTGAGCAGGGCTGGCCTTGGCTGGTATTTGGATTGGGGCAATGGCAAACCACTCCTGAATGTCTCCTGCCTTGAAAACACACAAAAGACTGTACCATCAGAAAAGGATATCTTTGCTTCCAGATGTACTGTATTTTTGCACTGTATTCTTGGTGCTTTGGGGGGGGGGCAACAGTGGGTGGGCTTCTAGTGTCCTGGCCCCACTGCTGGACCTCCTGATGGCACCTGGTATTTTTGGCCACTGTGTGACAGAGTGTTGGGCTGGATGGGCCATTGGCCTGATCCAACATTGGCTTCTCTTGTGTTCTTAATAGGAATCAGTGGGATGTGTGAGTGATCAATACTTCACTTACAAGAACAGCCTTGTTAAATCAGGTGTTCTTGCAGAGCTTGCATTGCCAAAAGCTTGGCTTCTGCATCCTTCTGCCTCTTTTTCTTGCTGAGTTCTGTACCCATTCCATCCATTCAGGGGTCATTTGGGGGGGACACGGGGGGACGCCATCCCCCCGGGTGAGGTGCAGGAGGGCGGGGCCTGGAGCTCCCTGCTGGTGCCCGCTGGAGGTTGCCGCCGGCTGTGGGGAGGACACACTTCCGGTGATGTCAGGGGGTGTGGCATATGCTAATGAGTTATGCTAATGAGTCCCCCTAGCTCTTTTTCTACGAAATGACCCCTGCATCCATTTAGGGGTTAGTTATGGCCTTTTGTGGCTGTAGAAAGAGGTCTGGTAAGCTGAAGGGATTCATTGCTTTAAGGGGTTGTGATTTAATGGGAGGGGGAGGGGAACAGTACAACTTTAAGCAGCCTTTGTCAGTTGTCATGTTGGGCTCAGAAATGCTTGATTTAGGCATATTTTATGGAGAAGTTGCTATTAGATAATTCAGATATATTGTACCAGTGAGATATGTGTGTTGAAGTCTGTTTAAATGATCTTAAATGCATCTCTTGCTCATTTACAGTTGACCTGCATACAGGTAGAGCTGCTGCAGGGTTTGAATGTTAAGCTTCTAAATCTAACACTGTAATCCTACTCTATTCAAACGAGTTGGAGTTCTGCCACTTCCGGTGATGTCAGGGGGTGTGGCATATGCAAATAAGTTTTGCTAATGAGCTCCTGCACCTCTTTTTCTACGAAATGGCCCCTGATGACTATTAGGGCATGGCTTATGACCTTTAACTATTGGCTTCAGCTGCATTATAACCCTGATCCTTCCAGTTACAATTACCAGTTTTTAATGGAATCTGAGTTTTCACCTTGCCTAGCTACCATATAGAGTAAACTGGGAACTTTGAATATCCCCTCAAATCTTTCCTTCTACTTTCAGAATCGGAAAATGAACAGAGTACTGGAGGTAGAGCTAGCTAATCTGTACAATGCAGTCAACAAGATCTACTCTCCCCTTGGCCATGGGATACTTCCCACTGTAGGACTTCTCCCTAGTTATTTTTAACAATTACAGACTCCAAAAATTTGTAGATTTTTTTCTCTTGCTAGGTTTTACCTTCAGCGATTTTAACCAGAAGATTTCAGAGTATACCCCTTATTAACAAACATTGCTCTTGTTTAAATGGAACTATTGAAACAGTGCCTCATGTGTTGTTAGAGTGTCCTTATTATAATAATATTAGACATAGTATTTTATCTCCAATTTTATTCAGCATTATGGTCCTGATACATATAAATTGTTGTTTCTGCTAACAACAATGATGACAATATAACTGATTCAGTGGCAAAGTTTTTATATGTTACTGTTCTTATACTGTAACTTTGGGACATTTCAATTTGTGATTCATTTTATGTTTAGTTCTTTTAGGGGAGCGGTGGCACAGGCAGTAAGAACACCTGCAAAGTAACATCAATGAACAGCCATTACGGCTGTTCGAAACCCACCGCGGTCGGGGTGAGCTCCCGGCCCACGTCCCAGCTCCTGTCCACCCAGCGGTTCGAAAGCATCATAAATGCAAGTAGATAAAGTGGGTACCTGCCCTAGGTGGCAGGGGGCACCCCTCCTCCTTGTGAGGTAGAGGGTTCGGCGGCAGTGGCAACAATGGCGGCGGAGCAGTTCCTGGCGACCCGGTGGAGCAATGTCGGAGGCAGAGCCCGGAGAAGTGGAGCCTTGGAGAGCGGGGTGACGTGCGGCACAGCGCGGCGGAGCCACCTGTGGACAGTAGCCGGAACTGCAGCCAACACAGAGCCACGTGCCAAGATGAGACCTGCCGGAGGAAGCTGCTCGGGAAAGATCGGCTCCAGAAAGGGCACCAGGATGCCAATATCTGAAGCCGCGGAAGGAAGCCAGATGACAACTAGCCTGGGGTGCTGGTAGGCAGTCACCACCCTGTTGACAATGTGGCCCTAGTTAGGTTAATTGGTTGGTTAGAACCACTATGTAAACCACCCAGAGACCCTTCGGGGTCAGGGCGGTATATAAGCCGAAGGTATAAATATAAATAAATAAATAAATAAAATATATTTGTTTAATGTTCTCCCTTTTATAATGCTGATAAAGGTAAACTAACTAACTACAACTGATCTCCAGATGACAGAAAACAGTTCCCCTGGAAGTAATGGCAGCTTTGGAAGGTAGACTCGATGGCATCACATCCCCACTGAACTCCCTCTTCTCCCCAAACTCCACCCTCCCTAGGTGCCAACCCAAATCTCCATTTATTTCTCCAGCTGGAGTTGGCAACCCTAACTGACTATGTCCTTATACCAAAAGTCATGTAAACTCTTTTTAAAAGTACTTCCGTTACATTTCACTTCCTTGGGCACATATACTGCATACACCATGGAGCTCGCTCGCCATCATGTACTGTATTACAGGTTTTATAGTTTTTAAATTGTATGTATTGTATATTTTAACGGTATACCCACTTGTTGCGACTTGCCCTGAGCCCACTAGCAGGGGAGTGTGGGATAGAAATCCCCCCACCATAAAATAGTTCAACACTAAGGCTGTTTTCACAATAGGTCCCTGCATTTCCTGCAGCTGCAAATCAATGTGCATTTGATTTTTAAATGGCTCTTTGCATTAACTGCATTTATGAAAGATATTTGTTGCATCATTGGTAAAGGCTTCCATCACTCACATTTCTGCCACCAATCATGATACAGCCCAAAACTTACCATTTTCAGACTCAGGTTCCCTTACGACTAGTTTCTCAGTTTCTGATTCTTGGTCTTCCTCCTGCAATAGGAGAATTAAACACAGGCTTGTTGTAAAAGTTACTGATTGCAAAGGCTTCTTGCAAAACAAACTGAACCACCACATATCACAAGGCATAACAGCTCAGAGGTAGAAGTCTCCTTTGATCCCACAGAAAAGCAGTCAGCCTCAAGTAAATCCCTCATTCACTTATATTTCCCTCCTTCTGTACCCTATCCATGGCAGATTTTAACAATTTGGCAGGTTCTCTATAAGTGGCGAATATTTTTTGATAATTTTTTGGATAGGTATAGCCAAAGCAGTGTAATCAATGGCCCATTGTATTTTAGTTGTGTGTTGTTTTGATCTATCAGAGAGGAGATTGGCCCTAGGTAATTTTTGGGCTTTCTCTCTAGTTCAGGATAACCCCTGTGTTTGAATTTATTCTGCATATACTTACATTCCCTACTATAATCTTGTTCCAAAGTTGCATTTCATTTAATCTGTAAAAATTGGGTATAAGGAATGTTATGCCTCAAATGCACTGGGTAGAAAGAATCAAAATGTAGGTATTTTTATCAGTGTCTTTTCTGTGGATTCTAACAGCTATCATACAAAAGGACCAAAAGCATTAGGGACCAAATTATTAGATCAGAATTCATCGACACAGAGTGCAGGGATTTGCCAGTAGCAGGACACCTTTAATGTGGACAATGTAAATGTTGCCTGATGGCTTGGGAGGGTTCAGAATTTTTACTTTCTGGTAATCATAAAATTGTATTGTCACATTTCTCTACTTGCAAAAACAGTGAATGTGATATACCTTATTTGTGTGGTTGTTCCAAAATGTATGTGGGCAACATCACAAGACAAGTCAGAGTCCATATTTTAGAACACATCTAATGATTGAGGAACAAAATCTAGGAAGCCCCATTGACCCAACATTTTCTAACAGAACAACATGGTGATAGTGATTTTAAATTTTTAGTGCTACAGTCAAGGAGACTAGAAATATAAATGTACAAAAATGCTACTACAATTAGAGTGTAAGTGGATATTTCGTTTAAACACCCTACAGCCCCACAGATTAAATTTTTCCTTAGATTTAAGTTGTTTTTTATAAAAATGATTTAAAAATAAATATTTTTGAAGACAAATATTCTCTTAAAGACAGGGCAGAACAAAAAATTTACAATTGTATTTTAAATTTAGCAAGGTGCTCAAGATATTTTTCAGGCTCTTTAACAATCATTGGGATATACGTTGCAACATGTAACCAATTAGTAGTGTCCTAGATTAGATTAGACGAGAAACCAGCAGAGAGATCTAAGCACTAACACTGTATTAAATGGAATGTAAACATAGATTTCAGGGTCTGCAGTGTAAAACACTCCTTTAAACAGACTAAACAAGCAGAGAAAAAACTTTTTGTGAGTATGAAATTGGATTATGTGCTGTGATGTGTAGTTCCCAAGAATGTTCTGAAACATTGTTATATGTTTATATGGTTTATAGTGACTGCCACGGTACCTTGATAAAGGACTGAACATGGGTGTGGAGCTGGTCTGTCGGAGCCATGCCAGTTGGTCACATATTTGGAATAATTTACATCTCTGTCAAAGGACTGTGTAAAGCCATTAAATTTTAGTATACAGAGGTCTTTTGAGCAGGGACAGTTTGGTTTACAAGGACACTTCAAATATTTGTATATTGGAATGTGTTCTGTAATTTGTACCATAATATAAATGCTTAATAATAATTATTGAATAGATTGCATAATAATATCATGGCTGCTTTTTGTTTACTTACAACCTAGCCTGTGATTTCACACTTGTACAACCTCCAGGTGGTGGCTGGAGATCTCCTGGGATTACAAGTGATTTCCAAGTGACAGAGATCAGTTCAACCTGGAGAAAATGAGTGCTTTGGAAGGTGGACTCTATGGCATTATACTCATTGAAGTCCCTCCTCTCCCCAAACCCCACCCTCCTCAGGCTCCACCCCCAAAATCTCCATGTATTTCCCAACCCGGAGCTGGCAACCCTACTAAAGATCCAAACAAACCCTGGGTGCACACCTGCTACTTCTTAGAACACACAGTAACAGCAGAAGAGGGCCCAAGGGATGAGCCTGAAATGGAAGCTACTGTGGATGTTTTCCCACAGGACATTAAATATGTATACGAGGGGGAGCTTTTTAAAGGTAAAACTTTCCTTGGCTAGCACGTGCATCCAATCTTAAAATGCCTTTCTTCTACTTTATATTTAACATATTCACAAGTGCACAAAAGTATCCCTTGACAAGTGATTGTTGGATAGCTCCTCACTGTGTCAGAATAGTGTGGCATCTGTTGTGAAGGCTATGCCTGTATAAATTGCCTTTCTCTCATTGGAGAGACTTTTGTGCTGAATAATACACTTTCAATCCACTTCAGCAGTCATTTGCAAGTGAATTTTGGTTTCATACAAAAAATCCACTTGCAAAATGCACTGGAAGTGGATTGAAAGTAGGATCGCCAGGCCATGATCTGGGCAGGGGTTCCCCCACTTTTGTGGGCCCTTTCTGCTGCTGGTGGGGGAAAAACCCACCCGCAAATGCCCCTGAATGCGATGTGATGATGTCACCTGGAAGTGACATCATCACGTCACTGATGTCAAGGGGGTGACACTCTAGTTTTGGGGTAAATCTCTGTGGTAAAATTGGGTTCAAACCATAAAGTGTTGCCCAAAAACTAGAGTATTGCCCTCTGATGTCGGCGACGTGATGACATCACTTCCGGGTGCCATCATCACACCATGCCTGCTTCCCTGACCTGCTCCTGGAGCCCCCCACTGCCAGCTGGTAAGGGCCTGGCAATCCTAATTGAAAGTACATTATTCAGCCCTGACTTGGATAGCCCAGGCAAGCCCAATCTTGTCAGATCTCAGAAGCTGGCAAGTACCTGGATGGGAAACCTCCTTGAAATACCAGAGGCATCAGGAGGGGCAACCACCTCTCTGAATATCCTCCAGGCTCTCAGTAGGGGTCAGTCACCAGAGGTCACCATGACTTCCAGGTGCACACACAGTCAGTCACCAAAGATCGACATGACATCCAGGTGCACACACACACACGCACATAGGAAAAATATAAGAAAATACCAAAAAGAAAAAAGAAACAAAGGAAGTACATTATTCAGTGTGTGAGAAAGCGGCAACTTGATCCTTTCCTGGATACATCTTCTGTATGTTTTATAGGAGAAAACAGTGGTCTTAGACATGGATGCTCCTCAAGGTACATGGGTGTGTTTGTAATTCTGCCCTTCCTTTTTAAATTATCCCTCTTAGTGCCATCTTTTCCTTGTTTTCTCCATATCCTTTATTTTAAAAAACACAGAGATAGAGATCTGAAGCAACATTATAATGCTATATATATTAAAGCCTTGTGTATTGGCACTTTCCTTCTCTCCCATTGGCTGTGCTGTGCGCTTGCATGCCATTGGCTGGGTTCTGGTTCCACTCCTCTCCCCCGCCCACTGCCGGCTTGGCAATTCCCTGTCTGAAAAAACTGCCAAAACCGCTGTGGGGCTCACTTTCCCCTCAGTGGCTGTTGCTAGGCAACCAAGCTTGGTTCTGTCAGTGAAAAGGCAGGGGCAGGAGACCCTTTCCAGGCCTACTTTGGCCTTTGTGGGGAACTCATTGGGGCCGGTTTTGACTAGGGTCGCCAGCTCCAGGTTGGGACATTCCTGGAGATTTTGTGGTGGAGTCTACGGATGCTAGAGTTCGGGGAGGGGAGAGTCCTCAGCTGAATAGAATGCCATAGAGTCCACCCTCCAAAGCAGTTATTTTCTCCAGGGGGAGAGAGATATCTGTTGTCTGGAGTTCAGTTGTGATACCAGGCGATCTTCAGGCTCCACCTGGAAGTTCGCTAACCTAGGCCTGGCAGTGCCCTCTGGGTGACTTGATGACACCTGACTGGCATGACAACTAGGCCTGGTTGCTTGCTCCTGTTTACCAGCAGCAGCCCCTCTAGAAGAAGGAGGAGATACTGGATTTATACCCCACCCTTCACTACCCGAAGGAATCTCAGAGCAGTTTACAATCCCTTTCCCTTCCCCTCCCCACAACAGATTCCCTGTGAGGTAGGTGGAGCTGAGAGAGCTCTCTCAAGAACTGCCCTTGAGAGAACAGCTCTGAAAGAACTTCTGACTGACCCAAGGTCACAAAAGCAGCTGCCTGTGGAGGAGTGTGGAATCAAACCTGGATCTCCCAAATTAGAGTCTATGCTCCTAACCACTACACCAAACTGGCTCTCAACTAGGACAGCCAGTGTGGTGTAGCAGTTAGCACTTCAGAGCAGGGTCTGCCAGACCCAGGTTCTTGCTGTGGAAGCTGATTTGGTGATTCCAGACTACTCACAGACTTTCAGCCGAACATACCTCATAGGGTTGTTGTGCAGATCAAAAGGGGGAGAGGAGAATGATGTGAGCGGCTTTCGTCCCCACTGCAGAGAAAGACTGTACTTTTCCTAGGTAGAGGCTACAGGGAGGGAGAGGAGATGGAAAGCTGAAGTCAAAGGGGCAGATAAAGGTTGCCACCTTCAGGTTGGGAAATTCCTGGAGATTTGAGGTCTGGAGCCTGGAGAGGGTGGGGTTTGAGGAGGGGTGGGACCTTAGAAACAATGCCATAGACTCCACCCTCCAAACCAGCCATTTCCTCCTGGGGAACCATTGTTGCCAATCTCCAGGTGGGGGCCGGCGATCACTCAGAATGACAAGTGCTCTTCAGATGGCAGAGATCAGTTCCCTTGGAGAAAATGGTGGACTCTGTGTCATTATACCCTGCTGAGGTCGCCACAGGAAATTGACACTCAGTACCCAAGGCTGGGGCATCAGCCCAAAACCTCGTTCTAGAGCTCATTGCATTTATTTCCACAATGGGCCTTATTCCTAGTGAAGTATAAGTGCCTTCCCTCATCACTGAGCAATTGCAGCCTTTCTCCAAATACTTTAGAATTAAAATTGAGGGCTGCAGGCAGAACTTCCATTCACACCCCGAGCCAGG